TGTAATTAAACAGACATCAGTATTTTAATATCAACTGTATATCTGTGCAGATATAACTGACTGATCACTTGCATAAAAAACACTGTGTCAGCTCTCTGTGTGTAAAACATCCTGTGTGTGGTTTGTGGCTCAGGTGCAGCATACGGCTGGAGCAGTGGGTTCATGGTGCCGTGTCAGGGGAGGCTGATACACACCTGAGCTCCATCAGCTGATTATGTCTCCCCTGTAAAAGATGTGCTGGGACCTGAGGTGGTATCGTGTGTGTGTGTGTGTGTGTGAGTGGCAGCTGGAAAGTTAGAAAGCTATATGCATGACAGAAGCATGTTTTTTTCTTGCTGTTAATAAATATGATCAGTTAAAATATTTAGGTTTCTTTTCAGAGCACCTTATATAACACACCCTCCCTCCCACCCCTGTCATCAACAGCTGAATATATTCAATCTTTCTTTGACAAAAACTGTATAATAAATTTATAATATTGTACATGTACTTTGCCACATTATCCAACACGAATCTACTATAACAGTAAAGTTAGTCAATTACTTTGTACTTATGTGCAGATACGCTGCATTCATATTTAGGCTTGTGCACTGTATTTGCATAAATGAGTTTTAATGTTGGCTGTGAAATTCCCAGAAATTTTGTCTCGCCAACAACATTGAGACACTTTGCAGATGAGTTCTCGACCGTCCTGACTGTTTTGATTTATTAATTAGAAATATGAACAGATATTGAAAAAACTTGTGCAACAGGACTGGTAATTGTTCGTTTGGCTGTCACGTTTGGCTGATTCGAGCTACGGAGATTTTGGGTGGGGTTTATTTGCAGTAATAGCCGTGGGCAGAGCAGTGACACCTCGGCGGGTCTTTTTCCTTTATTTTCAGCGCAAATATTTGTATATTTTCTCTCTCGTCGCTAATTATGCTCATAGCAGACTGTAGAAATACCTGCTGAGCAGCAAACAGGTAACTTCCGCGTCACTGTGGGAACAGCTGTGGTGCAGCTGTGGGAGAGCCGCACTGGTTCCTGCGTTTGACGCTTCTTCCTATTTTCGCTCCTTTAATGTCCACAGCTGTCGTTTTTCTGTGGGTTAAATATGAAGTATTGCATGCAGTTGGTAAAACGTGGAAAAATAAAAACACTTCGAAAGGACCGACACTTTTCTGTGGCTCCGTCCGTCCTTTGTTTTGTTCCCCCTCGCAATACAGTACAACAAACCGAAGGTTCCTACACACGCCTTTTTTAGTTTCCTGCTGCAGTGATCGTGTACTTTATAACTCCAGCATTCCTGAAGCGACATTAATTATTGATAACTTTAAGTCTTACATGTTGTTCATATTTCATATTTTCACAGTTTGGTGTGGATCAGCTTTGACACAGGTCAAGAATTCCATCCTAATACATATGTAAACTAAAATCTTTCTTATTTAGGATGTATAAAGAGCCTATCTGACATTAATGGTCAAAATCTCTCTTTTGGAGAGGGTCCTGTCGGTCCAGACTCCAGGGCTACTCTTCTTTCTTCTTTCATTTGCAATATCTGCTGGACATCTGCAAGTTTCACAGATCTTCATCAGATTCAATATTGTCTAAAAGCTTGCACTATAAGTTGTTTACATTTATCGAGAAAACAATAAAAAGAAATTAACTTTTCACAGATTGGCTGTGTGCCCAGGTGCCACATACATTATAACTAATCTATGAATTTCAGATACTCCTGATCTCAACGTGTTATATGTATAAAGCACACCTGTCCACAGAGTCAGTTTCTTACATTCCAATCTCTCCACCAACCTGATGTCAGGGTTGCAAATCTGGAGCCAGAATAATAAACTCCATCTGATCCATCACTTGTAGATTCCGTCTTTTAGCTCCAATCAAAAATCAAACTATTCAAAAAGATCTTTTGAGTAGTTTGTTGAGTTTAATGAGCAGAGCCACAAAGTTAAGCAACCCCGGGATGTAGAGCCTTGAATACAAGCAGCAGACAGACACTTGCCTACTCTACCCCAATCTTAACCCTCGAGTTGCTCTTTCCTGGGGATTTTTCCCAGACCTTATCATCCATCTTCATTACAGTCAATTTGACAGGTTTACAGCCAAGTTTAGCGCATAGTGTCAGGAATAATGGTTGAAATGCCAGCCTTACAAGAAGAAGTAATTAATCCCTGTCAAGAAGATGGAGCTCCCTCAGCTCAGCTCCAACCAGAAGTAAAAGGCCTAAAATTCAGTCTTTGTGGGTGTAACAGAGCACAGAGTGATTTTTATGTGTGTGCTTTTGCTGATAGTTTTTCCTGCTTTAATCAAATCAGAAATCTAATCAAGAATCAATAAACTTAAATAAGAATAGAATCATTGCAATTAAATAATTGCAATGTTTAAATCTCATTCAACCCAGACTGTGTGTGTGTGTGTGTGCATCTGTGCAGCTGTGACCTTGAGTTTGTGTATGTGTGTGAGGGAAGTGGAGCAGGCAGAAAGAAAGAGAAATAGAAACGTTTTTGATTTTATTACGCATGAACAACCAGAAGCAGTATTCAGAAATGAAAAGTGCTTCAGTAGACTGAAGCAGCCAGCGATCAGCGTATGTAGAAATCTGTAACTGCATGAATTACCGTGGTTTGACATATTTCCCAAACAGAGATGACAGGTTTTTATAAGAAAGATCAATAGTAGTTGAGCCTTCACGATTCTGTCACAAATTACCATCTTGTTATCTTTATAGAACAAAATGTAGTTTACAATGAGTAAAATATTTAAGTATAGACTTACAGACACCTCGTTTGATGTGCATGTGAAAGTTTATGATATTTGAATGTGGGTGTATTTCAATTCACTTCTCATAAAGGATTATACCTTTCTTTACTTTTGGATTATAAGAAAATAAAATGCCCTGCAATGTATTTTACTTCTTCCTTCTTCTTTCGTCTCTAGCTGGTGGTCAGCGAGTGAGGTCGTCCACGAAGCCAATACGTTACTGTGGGTAACGCAGGGTTTCCATCTTGGTCAACGATGCACTTCCAGGCCTTGTGATCTGTGGCCTTGACCTTTGCTCGGTCGAAGGTTAGATGTCGTTGTTTAAGATCACCTTCAGTTTGCTTGATCCAAGTCTTCTTGGGCGCATCGTGCTTGATTCTCCAGGGCGGAGCGCTGCTGCAGCAGAAGGCGCTGTGGCATGCGATGGTTGCTCATGCGGCAGATGTGGCCAAACCATTGCAGTCATCGTTTCTGGATCAGCTCTTCCATCGAGGGCTGATGGTGACATTGACTACGTATTGCACCGTTACTGAGACGGTCACAGAGGGACACAGTGTATTTAACTAATTCCCTGAACTTAACTGGGTCATTCAGATTTCATCATATTCTATACCCAGGCCAAAGCTGTAGCTTTTATTCTTTCCTTTAGATGACAAAGTTTACTACAAGATGAAATAACTTCACCATCCCAACGATGGTCTCCAACAGGCTACACCAGCTCCAGACACAAGAACAAGGAAGGTTTGTCAGTTTTAGTTTCCTTATTTCTAGAATAACTAATCTCAGAGTGTTTCTGTGACAGCACCAATGTGTTTGATAGGCTACCTCTCTTTAATAAAAACTGAACTTGTTGTGCTTCCTTGGCAGTATTTGTGCTCTGTTTTTTTTTTTTCTCCTCCCAAAGCCAGGTTCGAACATTGGCCCAAATAAATACCTGAAGGATGGAAATAATATTGCTACTATCGATCGGATATCAGTACCAATGGTTTTGATACTACTGATATTTGGATCGATCTGCTTCTAGTATCGATTAGAACACCTATGCCCTACAAAACGGGTAAGGCTATTTCACTCATATGAAAGTTTTAATATTATATGTTACTGTTTCTTACTTTACTTCAAAAAAATTACTAAAAGAGTGAAGTGATTCCATCCAAAAAGATGGCAATGTAATGAGAACTTTGCATTTAATCTTATTTAACCAGTTCATACAACGATGAAACTAAACTTGCAGTCAGCTGTCACGTTTTGAGGCTCTCTTATCAAGTAAACATGGAAAGACTGCAAGTACAAAGGAGCTGTCATGAAACACGTTCATGCTGCGTTTATCCTTTTCCAAAGATTTCATCAGTAAATCTCAGAAAGACAGTTTGGTTTCAACTCTTGTTTATTTTTCCACAACACTGAGCAATAAGTTATTTCTGTTTGTGTCTTTAGCAGTGTTGTTGCTAGTTCACTGACTAATCCTGAGGTCACATCGCCCGCCCTTTTTGGTTTTCAGTCTGATTCAGTTAAAATGAAGCTGAACTTGATTCCTGACAAAAACACAGATATATACGACGCGTTGTGAATGTGCAGACAGATTAGAACATCCAAAAATCCAGGTGTTAATAAATTATTAAAAAAAAATAAAAATTCATTATGATATGAAGAGAGACATTTAAAGAGGTCACCTTCACAAGATACAAAAGAGGACAGTGCAGACTACAAGAGTATAAAAATGTGGAACCATATTTACAATTTACTTCATTATACTTTATGTTTTCCTTCACATAAATAAAGACCATCGACAACCAGGTTTTATTTTTAATGACTAAAATGAGAGCATGAAGGGGTCTAGCCAGCCTTAGCCACTTAAACAGCATTAATACCACACATTACATACCAGTGCCACATGGTCCACCAAAAGTGAACTAACGTCTCCACAACACTAAAGGTCACAGTACAAAACACTCAGGTCATTATTCAAAATGCATCCATAATAACAACATGATGCTGATGTATGACCACTCAGAGCCTTTAAACAAGCCCACAACAGACTGACACCAGAGTTTGTACAAACTTTGGTTTTATTTTAAATGACTAAATATTCTCTGGTAAAAAAAAAAAAAAGACAGCCAGGAGAGCCCAACAGCCAACCTCAGGCATGTCTTTAGTCACACCTTGTTAGGTGCAAACAGTTACCGATTACTGCTGCTGCAGAGGGGCGTGA